TGCTCTATACATAGCAAAATGCCTCATAAAAGGTGTCCTGGGCCCACCCTTTTTAACGTCAGAGCCCTGACCAAATGGTCCTGACTGAGGGGTCATATCTTAAACTCTCCTTGACACCCTGAAGCCACCACTAAGAGCTTCAGAGCTGGGTACAGAGGGCAGTTGAGCCAGTGGGCAAACTGTGCATTTATTAGGATAACTTCATTAGACATTTGTCAGAGAACTCAGTCTCTATTTATCTTATTTTCTTAAGAATGTGTTTTTATTGATTTTAGAGAGAGAAGAAGGGGAGAGGAGAGATAGAAAAATCTATGAGAAATAAATATTCATCAGCTGCCTCCTGCATGCTCCCTATTGGGGATCAAGCCCTCAAACCAGGCATGTGTCCTGACCAGGAATCAAATAGGTGACCCCTTGGTGCATGGGATGACGCTCAACCTACTGAGCCACACTGGCCGGGGCTCAGTCTCTGTTTTAAAAAATAAAAAATAACCCTGGTCAGTTTTTCTTAGTGGTTAGAGCATTGGCCCACAGACCAAAGGGTCTTGGGTTCAATTCTAGTCAAGAATATGTACCTGGGTTGTAGGTTCAATGCCCAGCCCCAGTCGGGGTCATGGAGGAGGCAGCCACGTGTCTCTCTCACATCCATATTTCTCTCTCTCTCCCTCCCTTCCACTCTCTAAAAATCAATGAAAAAGTATCCTCAGGTGAGGATTAACTACCTAAATAAATAATACATTTCCCAATGTCTTGCCGTTTCCTCAGTGTTACCCAGGGCAGACCTGAATAAGGGGAGAGATCATGTAAGCCGTCTTTAATTTACAGCAGGAATATCTGAACGTACAAAGTGGAGATACTGGATATTTCTAGTCCTGCCAGGGGCAACACCCAGCTGGCCTTTCCATAGTGTAGAAGTCAGACATGTCTGTGTCTGCTGGCTCTTCGTTTGCATGGTGAGCAAGCCATGTCTCCGCCTGCCTGTCCTCCGCCAGCGTCTTCCTGGGGAAGCTTCCAGGCCCCTCTCCCAGGTGGGCTGGGCTCCCTGTGTGTCTGTGTCTGTTCACGGGTCTCGTCTCCCTGCGTGTGCTGTCTGTGAGGCAAGCCTCCTTCGGCTGCAAGTGCTTCTTGAGGAGAAGAGGGAGGTCAATGCCGGCCTCAAGGATCCCGGTTCACACAGACCTCAGTGCACATGGCATCATGTAGCAGGAATGGGATTGGAGAACGTGCGGGCTGCTCTGGGAAGCTGGGAAGCACTAGAGAAATCTGCCATTGTCCTGATTATAGGAATGCTTGGAGGACGGGTGTGGGGTAAGAGGAGGAAAGAAATTGTTCTGTGTCGAAAATCATCCTCTAGGCAAAGCGGATGAGGTGTTCAGAGATGTGACCTTCCTGTGGTGCCTGCCTGATGTCTCACGAATGTGGCCTGTTCGCAGGGGTGTCCCCTTTTCCTTCTTCCCTCCCTAGTGAGGGTTGCGTCCCGCTGGGTAGGCTGGGCTTCCTCCGGGCGCTCCTTCGCAGGCCCATGTCTCCGCGTCTGTGCTCGCCCTGGAGATGCACACGTGCGGGGTGCCGCCAGCGAGAGGTGACCCCGCGGCACAGAGGTGACCCAGCAGGCCAGAGGTGACCCCGCGGCACAGAGGTGACCCCGCGGCACAGAGGTGACCCAGCAGGCACAGAGGTGACCCCGTGGCACAGAGGTGACCCAGCAGGCACAGAGGTGACCCCGCGGCACAGAGGTGACCCCGCGGCACAGAGGTGACCCAGCAGGCACAGAGGTGACCCCGCGGCACAGAGGTGACCCAGCAGGCACAGAGGTGACCCCGCGGCACAGAGGTGACCCCGCGGCACAGAGGTGACCCCGCGGCACAGAGGTGACCCAGCAGGCACAGAGGTGACCCCGCGGCACAGAGGTGACCCCGCGGCACAGAGGTGACCCAGCAGGCACAGAGGTGACCCCGCGGCACAGAGGTGACCCAGCAGGCACAGAGGTGACCCCGCGGCACAGAGGTGACCCCGCGGCACAGAGGTGACCCCGCGGCACAGAGGTGATCCAGCAGGCACAGAGGTGACCCCGCGGCACAGAGGTGACCCCGCGGCACAGAGGTGACCCAGCAGGCACAGAGGTGACCCCGCGGCACAGAGGTGACCCCGCGGCACAGAGGTGACCCCGCGGCACAGAGGTGACCCAGCAGGCACAGAGGTGACCCCGCGGCACACAGGTGACCCCGCGGCACACAGGTGACCTAGCGGCACACAGGTGACCCAGCAGGCACAGGGAGGTGTGCCGGGCACCGGCTGCACAGACTGACCCATGTGCCAGTCATCAGAGCTGATTTTCCAGCCATCAGCTCAGATCAAACCAGAGCCTTGTGTCGTGTCTGGAGGGCTGTCCAGGTGGCTTGGATGTACTTCCAGGGCTGCATCCACCTCTCCAGGGCAGCCACCCTCAGTTGGATCATGTCATTAGAGACCCAGTGGCTCTGACTTCATGGCAGCTCTGAGATGTGGACACGAAAGACAGTAAGTCCCAGGAGCAGCGCAGCTGGTCAGAGAGCTCCTGAGGGACCCCCTGCACCTGGCTCTCAGCACAGCGGGTGGGCAGGGGCTCCAGCCTTCTTGGGAGAGCAGGCTACATCCTCTATTTAACCTGTAAAGAAAAGGAGTGATTGCAACAGAGAAGGAGGAAAGCAATGCAAAGGAAGTCTGTTTTGTACCAACGAAGAGGGTAGCATTAAGCACCGAAGGTCCTGGCCACTCATTTCAGTCATGGTTTCTGACCACTGGGAAAGGAGGCGTTTCACCTGTCCTGCCTAAGGGCTTCGTGTGAATGAGCTGCCCTGAGGGGTTCCTCTGTGCACAATGGGAAGTGGGGACCAGCCCACATTTACAGGTGAGGCAGCCATTCCCCAGGCTCCATCTAGGCCACCACACTAGGTGAAGACAGGGTCATGGAGGACATTCAACCTGCATCTCATTTGCTCCCAAATTAATTTCACCAGCTCCCAGTTAGCAGTCCATGAAACATTTCAGTTATTCTGATATTAATATTCCACAGCCAAAACAAATTTGACCTCTTGTCTCATGGGCACCTTCTTTTCTCTTTACTTTCCTTGCAAACTTGAACACAATTAGGATGTACATTCCCAGGCCCAGAAGGGTTGGGATGAGCCCTTCCTTGATCTGCGGCAGCTGAACAGCAGTTCCAACAAAAGCTTTCGTTGACTCAGCTCCAAGCATGACTCACAGGTCTCCTTCCCCTCCTGCTGATTTGTGTAGGCCCCTAATGTCCACGCCTGACCACACATGGTCCCCCAGCCGATTCTCTAGCTGACTCATGTTTGTACTGTGCAGTCTAAACGCTTCATACAGGGCCCCTTAAAAGAAAATTTAACTGATTGGAATGTAAGTTCCAAAGGTGGCAAGAACACGCCATGTTAGGATGGCGCTCCTACTTAGACACAATTTGTATTTTGGGAATTCTTTGCTGACCAAATGATGTCATTATAAATTTACTTAATAACTTTTCTAACTTCCTCTGGCCACTGCTTCATTGCTATGTCACCAGTCCCCTGATAACAAGTCATGAGACCCTTAGAAGGGGGACCACGAGTCTAACAGGCAGATAGCTCCTCAGTGTTGACCTTGGAGAAGCTTGTGTTGTGATTTCTGAGGGTCATGGGAGCTTTCTGAGGTGGGCCTTGTGTTGGGGGTTCTTCTGAGAACCCGGCTCAGGCCCCCAGTAAGCCCCAGGGGCCTGGCTACTTGGGAGAAGCCAGAGTGGCTGGGTTGAGGACGGCCCTGTCAACCTGGCCTTTCAGGAGTCGGGAAACATGCTCGAGTGTGCTGGGCATGTCTCAGCGGAAGGGGAGCTGGGGTTGCAGGGCCGGCAGCTGTCCGCTTCCCACTGTCCATGTCCTTCAGCAAAGCTGTTTTCTTCCTCCAGACAATGAACCATTGCAACCAAATCAATGTTTCCTGAGGAAGAAAAATTAAAATATGAAAGTTATTTCCTAGCCTCTCCCAAAGGACAAAGGGAGATGAGTGTCATGGTTCATCACTGGCTGGTTTTCAAAGCCTTTGTATTTCTTAAACATAATGAGGAATAACCATTATCGAGCTCCTGGAACTCTCACACGCTGCTGGTGCACTTTGTAAACAGTTCAGCAGTTACTAATAAAGGATATCTGAAAGTTGCAGAAAAACAAATTGCACATATTATGTGGAAATGTAACTAATATACAGTTTAAAAATAAGTTTATCACTACCTCATCCAGGTGACTAGGGTCACCGTGACAGTGATGTGCCCTGTTAATACCCTTGATATGATGTGACGAGAGGGGCACTTCACCTCCGAGTGCTTCCTCTTAAAATCCATATGCCCCGTCTGACCATGAGGAAAATATCAGACAAACCGAAATTGAGGGACATCCTACAAACACTCCACAAAATTGTCAAGGTCATCAAAACAAGGGAAATCTGATACATAACCACATCCTAGGGATAACAAAGGAGACATGGTGACTAAGTTTTATGTGTCCTGGATTGGAGCCTGGAACAGAAAATGAATAGTAGGCAAAAACTAAGGAAATATTAATAAAGTATAGACCTTATTTACTAATAATGTATCAATAACGGTTCATTGTGACACTTGTACCATGCTGGTATGAGGTGTGTGTAGTGGGAGAACTAGGTACAAGCTATGTAGGAATGCTCTCTAATGGCTTTGCATTTTCTGTGACCCTAGATGGCCTTTTGCATCCTGTGTGTGCAGTGCTTCTCCAGATGTTCCTTGGCATCTGGTTAGTCGTTGCTCTGCTGCCTTAGGGAATAAGTGCCCTGTGTTGAAGACTTCTCTGTTCTAACCCACATGCACAAGCACCCGTTAAAGTCCTCCATAATTTGTGAGTGTGAAGGACGAAACCGAAATGAGGACAGCCAGAAAGACCTGCAAGAGCACTAGAAGCAGACAGCAGACGGTAATCATCTGTTCTCTTTTGCAGGAAAACTGCATAGAAAGTCTAATGGATGAAGATGAGAAAGACAGGGCAAAGAGGTAAGAGGAGCCCCCTTCCTGCCTCGGCAGCGTTCTGTGTGTCCAGCAAGAAAAGCAGCAGGGCACGGCCTGGGCCCACTCCCTGGAATACCGCCGAGCTCTGCTCAGACACTGAGACCCGCTCCTCAAACTACTCATTGTCTGGGACTTGCCAAGTGGTTTATATTTTTAACTTGTCCACTTGTCCTGCTGAATTGGGCCTACTTTCAGAAGCCTTTGGTTACTGCTTTTCCAAGACAGACACTGCCTGGTAAGGCAGCTGGATTGGAGCCAGGTAGGCTTGAATTCAAATTCTGACTCTGGTGTCGAGAGCTGTTTGGCTTTGAACAATAATAGTCACAATCATTCCTGCCCACTGAACGTGCAAAATCGTCTGCACTATGTTAAACACTTCCTGATGCATTAGACCAGCTTCCTCGTCTGTACGTGGGGACATGGCAACCTCCTCTGTGTTGCGTTAGCCAGAAATCCTAGCTTGGGAGCTAGTGTGTCAGAGCTGCTGTGACCCAGTCCATGCTTATTCCTTCAGTGGACCTTTACTGGAGACTTACTGTAGATGAGGTGGAGTCATAAAGCTGCTATTTAATGTGACGATTCCAGGTAACATCCAGCCGAATATTATCAATTTCACATGATTTGCCTGAGTTGATAGTTATTGTGCTAAATGTTAGGAACTAAAAGTGAGTCAGAAGCCTCCTGTCCAGATGGAGGGCACAGGTGAATGGAGGCAATTGGTAGGTCACCCAGATCATTGGGCTGCAGGGCCACAGGCCCAGCACAGAGGCCAAGCCACCTTCCTTCAGCCTCATTGCTTTCTGCTTCTGCCACGTGGGGGGGGGGGGCAGGCCCCTCCATACAGTGACAGCCTGTCATGTGCCTGCATACCTGCGGGTTTGCCCACTTCCCTTCACAGAACCCACACCCCAGTTGTCACTTGCAGAATCCTGCCCTGGAAAATACTGGGGCCCTCAGATGTCACCAGTCCTGTGGCTCCAGGCGTGTCTGTCCTTCCACGTCACCTGGGGGTAGGGATGAGAACAAAACCTCCTAGACACTTCAGACCTGCTAGAGCTGAGTCAGAAGGCACAGGGGGTCTGCATTGGTTGTTAATTTCCCAAGTATTTTCTTTAAAAAAAAAAAAAATACAACTATGGAGCAGGGGAAATGGTCAGAGGGGTGGGTGAAAGGGGGCTGTAGAAACTGGGAGTGCCCCTGGGGTTTATCGGAGCCTCACCTCTCCTGCTCCAGATGTTTGACATTTAAACAAACAGCAACACCAGTAACTTCCCAGCTGGTTCTGCAGCGACAGACCCTTGACTGGGCATTGGGAAACAGGGCCCCGCACAGTGCTTCTCAGACCCAGGGCCACAACCTAGGAGGGTTGTGGAATCCACGTAGGCCCAAGCAACACACAAATGAACAGGCTAGACCAGAACAGACATGAACAGAGCCTGCTGCTTTCTCGTGGGCAGGCAGTGTCCAGTTCTTTCCTCTGGGGTGCTGTGCCTCTTGTTCTACCCAAGTCACTGTGCACAGAGGGCTGCAGGCAGAGACTGAGCTGTCCTCCCAGCTGGCCCATCCTAGTGACGGATGCTCGCAATCCCCTTCTCCACTCAGCCCTACTTCTCACCTACAACACCAGGTAATCATTTCTGTCCTGCCTTCCTCTTGGATTGTTTTGGGAATCAGCCACAAAATATACCAAGAAGCTCTTTTTTTTAAGTATTAATTGCTACATGTGTGTGAAAACGAGGACATTCTACAAGCACACATTTGCCAGGGATTCTCGGGCAGTCATGGAAAGATCGGGCGTGGTGGGCTGCAGCCCGGGCACTCCCTGTGCTGAGCCCATTAGCAGGCAGAGGTGGGCTAAGTACTTCTTTGTTTTTTAACCCTAACCAGTTGTCATGCTTTTATTGATTTTTATTTATTTATTTACTTATTTTAGAGAAAGAGGAAGGGAGAGGGAGAGAGAGAGAAACATCGATTGGTTGCCTCCTGCACACACGCCAGCTGGGGAACCCAAAACCTGGGTATGTGCCCGACCGGGAATTGAACCTGCCAACTTTCAGTGAACAGGCCAATGCTTCAACCACAGCACCCAGGGCAATGGACTAAGTACTTTTCTATGCATGATCTCACACCATCTCCTCAACATCCCTCTGAAGTTTGTATCATTACTCTTCTCACTTCCCAGAGGAGGAAGTGAAGTCTCTGTAGGTTGAGTAGCTTCTCAAACATCCTCAAGCTCTAAGAAGTGCAGAGGGAAGTTATAGACAGGCTCTATCTTCTTCCCAGACCAGTTCCATCTGTCCGACAGGCCCAGACTGAGAACCGTGGCCTGGTGGGCCTGGGGAGTCCATGGGCGTGTCCTGTTGCCATCCTCATTCTTGATAGTGCCCCACCCCACCCCAGCCCTCCTCCCTGCTGCACCTCTGTCCTGGACAACAAGCAGACTGAATGCAGGTCCTTTCCCTCTGCTCTGTCCCTATTGGCTGTGAGCCCGGAGCACCCACGCCTCTGGTTTGGAAGCCTCCCTGCACAGACGATGGCCTTGTGGGGCCACTGGCCCACACTGCCCCTGCGTCCTCCGATGGGAAACGGGTTCAGAAGGTTTGTGAGCCCAGATCCCCGCGGGAATGAGAGCAGTGGCGCAGTACCCCTCCCAGCCCTTGGGAACACAACCCTAAAACTGTCGGTCCTACGACTGCATCAGTTCTGCAGGTTTCCATAGCAGGAAATGACAGGTCCCTCCCCTAATCCACCTGGAGGCCCAGTAGGAATTGCTTTCACTCACAGGTACTTTGATATGATTAGAGTGTTCAGCTTCAGAGCAAGTGCTCTTTCCTCCAGAAAGCATGTGCTTGTGAGGCAGGGTTTTCACAGCTTTAGGGAATTCACTGTTTATCTGGATTTTTTATCAAACTTTCTGAACCAGGACACAGTTGCACTTTCTTCTGTGAATTTCCATGTAAACCCAGTCAGTATTAATTGAGAGGCAAAAGCATGGTCCTTGCACTCAGAAAGGAAGCCTCGTATCCCAGGCACAAGTGGATGTGGCAGTTGTCCCTGCGTGGCTGCCAGGAAGGGTGTGGCCCGACAGGAGTGCGCAGCTTGGAATCAGGCCTGGTTTTGTTCTTGCCGCTTTTCCTTTCTGTCCTTGGACGAGTCGCTAAACCTCTCTTAGCCTCAGTTCTTCGTCTGTGAATGGGTGTGGTGATAGTAGCAGCTTCTTCCTGGGGTTACTACAGATACAGAATGCAGCTGTGCCCAGGCCCCTGGCGTGGAGAAAAGCTAGAACTCACTCTGTGCCCACAGCGGCATGCAGGCATTAACTTGAATCCTCACCACACCCCTTGAACATAAGTTCTTATTAGCCCCATTTTACAGTTGAGAATGCTGAGGCTTAGGGCTCATGCAGCCAGTCTGTGGCAGGCAGGGACCGAAGTTCAGGCATCATTTACCAAAGTCTAGACCCTAACAGCTTCTCATGACAGCCCTGAGAGCTGCATCCTTTGATCCTGTGCATGCCAAGGGCAGGCACAGAAAGTGCTGATAGAAATCCTCACTTCTCAAAGATGGCCAGTTTTTCTAACTGCGGTATTGTAAAATATAGTCTGCTCTGTGTTTTTGTAGGACTGAACACTAAGGACAAACTGTTTCATATGAACCTCTTTCTTTGATCCACTATTAAATGAGCAGCTCATCAGTATTAGTTAAATTGTATGATCTATCAGCTGGGAAGTTCTGTTTCCATAACCCGGTGTATTTCGTTGAGGGAGGGATTGAGGATGGGTGGTCAGTTGAGAATAGTGCTGTTTTTTGTTAATAGGAACCAAGAGTGTCAAGCAAGAATAGCTTATTTGGGGATTCTCCATAGAGTGAATGCTGGTTCGGAAACACAAGCTAAACAGGTATATTATTCTTTTACCCTAATCCTTAGTCCACACACCAATAAAATGGTTCGGGGAAGAGGGCAGAGTTCACAACACAACACGCATGAAGCCTGTCCATGCGCTTTTGCAGAAGCAGATGTTGCAGAAGGCAAACTCCAGTCTTAGGGAGGCAGGCTGTGTCTACAGGTCTCCGGGGTGGTTTGTTGATATGAACCAATGACTGAAACCATCTGTCATGGTGCATCAGTACTCGTTAACTAAGTTACGTGGTGACCAAGTGGGGGATAGAGAGATCCATAGCACCGCCCTGCCCTCGGAGATCTTTCGGGCCAGCTAGGGAGGCGTTCTCGGAAACAGGCACTGAAGGGAAAGAGCACGTCCTGCAGGGTCTGGAGGCTGCTATGGCTACGAGGAGAAACGGACCTCATTTTACTTGTTTCATTTCTCTCCCTGTAAATCCTGTAAGTCTGAAAGGAAAGTTGGTCCAGTCCATGAGGGCTGTAGCCAACTTCTGGATACTTGTTGCCACCCCCGTGCACGGGCTCGACGCAGCCGAGAAGCCTGGCCCTGCACGGTGTACGTTGGTGTTCCCAGCCAGAGCCTAGCGTGCTAATTTTGCTGTGATTTTCTTTCATAGCTCTTGACTGTGTGTTATGTACATCATCTTAGCCTCAACACAGGATGGGAAAGCAGGAAAATTTTTTGACACTTCCTTTCTGTTTGTTTTATTTGATGGTTGAGGTGATAGCAAGAGAGAACATGACGGTATCGGGACATACCAGTCATGTATATTATTCTGCAGTTTCTGATGAATGATTCTGGATTCACGACAAAGGGGAAGCAGAGCTGTCCTTGCAAGCAGAGTGCTGATTCTGACCATGCCCAGCAAACAGCACCCTGGAGAGGGGCCTCCCTCGATTTGGGGTGTTTGGCTTTTCCCCTGGTGGGGTCCTTTAGTTGTCCACAAAGACTTATCAAAAGAAAAATGTGTGCCTTGTATGCTTAAAAATTGGGGGATGTCTTAGCTGAGGGACACCCAGCACCAACCAGGGGGTGTTTGAGGCAACAGAAAATTCACCAAAAGCCTTTCAATAATTACAATTA